CCCTTTGTTACCCCAAACTACATATAAAAGCTTGATCAGTGGCATAAAAGTAACCAATGCAGCTACTTAATCCTTTGCTACTCGTTAACGTGCGAACGTCCCCTTTAAATAACGTGACGCTCTGCTCTCTATGACGCTGCTCGCATTAAGAGCTGTTGGAAGTGAATTAATTGATTCAGCATTTCGACACCTCCGTAAGGATGTATTTAACTCGACAGAGCGGTCTAATAAAGGATGTATTGATCTCGTGAATTAGCGAATTTTACTATACAAATATTTTTTAATTGGATGTTAAAGTTTATATGGGAATATTACATGACACGCTGATCATTTAACAATGCATTGGCGCAAAAAACGCACACCTTTTGGACAAATCTCGCAACATGATTTATCAAGTGCCACAAATACTGCCTAAACAAAATACTGATTTTGTGCACTTTATTTACTGTACCAATATTTTAAATTGGCCTTTGAACTTAGTTTTATTGCATGGCAAAAAAAAGTGTTACCTTGCCAAAGCACTGACAGAGCCCACTGATCTAATGGCGTTGTTGAGTGCTCCAAATGCAAACTTTGCATGCAACAATCAGGCAGCAATTGACAGCGCTCTGATCTAGTGGCATGCAGGCATCGTCAGATTGACAGTACTCTAGCCCAATGATGTTGGGGGATCCAGTGGGGGTGGCAGTCATATTTCAGGGTGACCGTGCCACTCTTTATAAAAACCGTGCTAAAAGTGCCAGTACGAGCGCTCATTGGCGCCCCTTCAGCTGGTGGCGCCCTAGGCGACCACCTAGCTCGCCTATGCCTAGAAACGGCCCTGCACACATCTCATGCATACCTGCCACCCCCAACCCCAACAACAAAAGACACACACAAAACAACTAAACATAACTCACCTTCCCACAACTTTGAATTAGTTTTCTTGATGTAGATAATAATGTCTATGTTCATATTTGTGTGTGTGTGCATAGTCATTGTCTGCAGTCCAGCTTACATTATGAGTGTTCATGAACACAGTGTTCTGTTCTGCTGTTGAAACAATTACAAAGTGAGACAAATGGGGTGTGCCGAAGACCCTCTGATCTCTTAAGTTTTACAGACTGTCTCAAGTACAAAATTCATCTATTTGCACAGATGTACAGTGTGCAATGTGTGCTGGCTGGAACATAATACCTGCAGGAATAAATGTATTAATATTTTCATAATTTCCTTTCATCATCAACATATTTTGGTTATTTCTGGAATATTTACAAAGACAAAATAGGTGGATATTTTTCATGATGCTCTAGTGCAGTGGTTCTAAACTCTGATCCTGGAGATCCACTGCTCTGCACATTTTGTTTGTCTCTCTTATCTGACGCACTCAATTCAGATCATGGAGCTCTCTCCTAACAAGCTGATCATCTGAATCAGGTGCGTTAAATAAGGAAAACACAAAATGTGGGTCCCCATGACTAGAGTTGAGAACCACTGCTCTAGTGGGTGTAGTGAGCCACAACTTATGAAATTTCTTACTGTCATGCAGGAGTTGTCTTTGAAAGGAATTTTTAAGTGCACTAATAGTAGGTATGTGTGAAGATAACCAGTTCTGCTGTAGAGCACATGGTGATGGAATGGTTATCTCAGTAAATCTTTATTATGATCTGAACCTGAAACCTTTGCATCAACTGACCAGATTCTTAACTATTATTCAACAACCAAACTGGCTTCTCTTCTACCTATCAACATTTTTCATCAGTCTGAAAATATCCTCCCCTGTATGCGTCATCTACTGAAAAGGTCCAAAATATTGATCTTGTCTTTATAAAGAAAATGAATTTAAAATAATAATTAAGAGAATGAAAACATTTATGACAATTTCTTAGAACGGAGGTTTAGGGAAGAACTTGAATCACTGGAGAAAATGATAAGCATTTAAAAAATAACAGGATTCCTGAAATGCAAAAAGGAACGTGAGAAAAAGACTTTACAGAGAATGTGTACAGCAACTCTGCCTACAGGTAATGACGGACCTTAGAGAACTCAACTAATTTTTTCATCTGTTACTCTGTAAATGTGAACTTTACTTGTAGTATTTTTCTGTATATGAGTTGTATTTATTGGTTTTGTTGTTTCTTTGTGTAGTTTCACGGTGCAACGCAAAGTAGAGTTTAATGGCGCTCTTCACGAGCGCAATAAAGAAAGAAGCACCCGTCAGAAGCTCTCTGTGTCCCGTTTATGGATGCCAAAGGGCAGCTACAGAATGTGTACAGCAACTCTGCCTACAGGTAATGACGGACCTTAGAGAACTCAACTAATTAAGTAAAACATGAGAAATATGTACTACAATACTAAACTTTTGCTGAAACTCTCAGAGACCGAAGGAATCCTTCTAGGCGCTAAGCAGGTTATTCCAGATCCCTGGAAGAACTGAAGAAGAACTGTTGTTGAAAAAGTATGTTCATTACTCCAGTTTGTGTTCAGAGTGTTTTAGATGACCCTACATGACTTGAAAGGTGTTGATCTACATCTGTTCTAGTGTACGCTAGCTCAAAGATTTACTCTTAAGATCTGTATTGCAGGCTATCAAGACAGCATGCCTAAACAAATCAAAATGAAAATTCAAATAACGGCTGTCATGATAATGTTAATAATCATGATAATGCAAAGTTTAAGCTGACAGTCTTATTCTCGTCATGATTACAGATAGCTACATAGACAGACAGACAGACAGACAGACAGACAGACAGACAGGATGGATGACAGACAGACAGACGGACGAACGGATGGATGGATGGCAGACAGACAGACGGATGGATGGATGGATGGATGGATGGCAGACAGACAGACAGACAGACAGACAGACAGGATGGATGACAGACAGACAGACGGACGAACGGATGGATGGATGGAAGACAGACGGATGGATGGATGGATGGATGGATGGATGGAAGACAGACAGACAGACGGGCGGACGGACGGATGGATGAATAATCACAGACAGACAGACAGACGGACGAACGGATGGATGGATGGCAGACAGACAGACGGATGGATGGATGGATGGATGGATGGCAGACAGACAGACAGACAGACGGATGGATGGATGGCAGACAGACAGACAGACAGACGGATGGATGGATGGCAGACAGACAGACAGACGGATGGATGGATGGCAGACAGACAGACAGACAGACAGACGGATGGATGGATGGATGGATGGATGGATGGAAGACAGACAGACAGACGGGCGGACGGACGGATGGATGAATAATCACATACAAAACAGTAAAATTGTTCACTTGCAAACACCATTTATTGATGATATTGAATTATAATTCCATTTACAATGATTTATCATTTTAACAACATTTTATATTACTGTGACTTTTTATATTACAGCTTAAAGAGTTTTAGTCTGTCTAGTAGGTATCAGCTATATGAAAAACATGTTTAACAGCTGTACTCAACTTTTCTTTTATTTATTTATTTTTATCTATCATTTGTGCAAAAAATCTGCAAATTCCTCATCCTGGATAAATTCTGATCAAAGAATAGTATGTGGGCTATATTTCTACACATTGTTATGTAACCAAATGTTTGTTTATAGATGATGGTGCTAATCACAACCACTGTGTAATTTGAAATAAGGCACAGTAAAAGACACGGTGAAACAACCACAATTATAGCAACCAACAACAACATCTGAACTGATCATCCTAAACAAGAGGCAGTCCATGGAAAAGCACTTGACTGACACTGTCACGGTGTCCACTGCAGTTGTAATAACAGTATTTAAAAGGTTATAGCTTCACTAGATTCCACTACGGGCTGCTCTGCTGCTCAAGAATCTCCATAGGCACAGTTTCTTTAAGGTCACTCAGTTTCCTGGAGAAGGAAGACAGTCTTGTGCTGATAGAATCTCTTTTCTGCGTCAACATATCCCCGTAAAACTGCCACAGCTTCTCTCTGAAGTGATTTCCCACAAAACAGTACAGGAAAGGGTTTATGGCACAGTTGGAAAAGCCGAGGCAGAGGAATAACGGCAGGAGTTTATGGATCGCCTGAAGCACCCAGCAATCCCACTCCACACCCAGCTCTCCCAGAGCTCCGAGGAACGCCAGCACGTGGAATGGGAACCAGCAAAAGAAAAACGCCAACACCACTGCGACCACCAAACGCAACACATGGACCAGTCGGGTATAGTCTTGCTCCAGGTAGTTTGGGGTGGCCAGAAGGTGCACCGCGATTCGGCTGTAGCAGGTCGCAATGATGACAAATGGCAGGAAGAATCCGAGGGTGTTCTTCGCAAGAGTTAACCCGGTTTGCCAGTAGGAACTGGGGAAATAAATTACACAAGCCGTAACATTGTTACTGGAAATAATGTGTATGTCACGGAACACAACTGTTGGCAAAGTTGTCAAAGCCGCCACAACCCAAATGATGCCGCTAACACATCTGGCCTGATTTATGCTCCTACTGCTCTGAGAGTGCAGTGGGTAGACGATGGCGTGATATCGATCAACACTCATACAGGTGATGAAAAATATACTAGCGTAGACGTTTATCGTTACCAGACCTCCACACAGCTTACACATAACCTTCCCAAAAACCCAGTTGTAATCCAGCGAATAGTACACAGCCCAGAATGGCAAAGAGCTCAGGAACAGTAAGTCTGACATGGCTAGATTCATCAGATACGTGTTGGCTACGGTCCTTCGTCCTGAACTGTGATACAAGACGCACACCACCAGCATGTTCCCAAGAAAACCTAGTAGGAAAATGAGGCTGTAGAAAGTGGGGATCACTTTCTTCTGGTACTGCGAGGTGGAGGTGGATATGTAGTCACATGAGTTCATATTATAACCTGTCATATTATGGTGAAACAAAGACACACTGGGTCCAGTCAGGTTATAGGTGGATTCTGTTTCCATGGCGTCACTTTTGATTATGCAGAATGATTCAGGAACGGGAGTTCTGAAGTTCTGGAATGAAAAAAAAAACAGAAAGACCTTTATGCAGTGATAATGCAAGTTCTCATGTGAAGCAGAAATGATGAAACGTTATTGTAGCCTTGGGATAAAATGCAAAATCATCTATCATGCACCATTTATCTTAAACCTTCACTAAAACTTCTTGGTCCCCTCAAATAGGAAAGTACAAAATTGTGAAACTCCTGAAAGTTTTGCCCAAAAGCAAAGAAAAAAATTCAAATATTCCTATAAATCACAGGCTAAATTTCACAGGTTGCCAAAATAAATAAAAAATGACTAAATAAAAGTGAGGAAAAACTTCTCTAGTGAGCTTAAAAAGTGTGTGAGACTATACATAAAAATGTTCAAATCCTCCATGGACACTTTGAATCCTATTTAAAAGCATTTGTCCCACAGTTGTGGACAGCCTCATTGTTTGTCTGTTACAAGCTATATAACAAAATCCCACCCCATACTGACCATCTAGAGTCCACTGGGACTGATGTTGCAGCATCCTCTCCTCAACATCTTGTCAGTGTGAGAAAGAGAATCTGTGAGTGTGAGAGAGAAATGTGAGAAAGCGAGTGTGTGTGCGTGTGCATGTAACCATAGCTCTGGTAAGTTTGGGTCCAGCGCAGATGTGTTTTATAACTCTCAGTAGGCTGTGCACAATATATCTGGTGACTGTTAACATAGGCGGGGGGCACATGAAGCTTGGATTGGCTGGGAAATCACTTGTGGTGTTTGAGGGGCGTACAAATGGGATTCAGTCCTGCTCCCCAATAGTATACATAACACAAAGTAGTAGTCAAGGCATTCTTTTCATATTTTCCCAATGAGCTCAGGTAATGTATGTATGTATAATTGGACAACAAAACCACACAGGTCCTGAAACAAATATCACGATTAGACTAAGTAACATAACATGAAATCCTCAAGTAACTGACAACATATTTAGAAGTGTTAAGCTTTTATTTACATAAAGGATAAGGTAGTTATGTTAAGGCTTATTAAATCTAAAATGTAAATAAAAGACTGGAAATATCTGGCAAACCTTAAGTTTTAGGAAACACTTTAGTTTAGGGAACAATTCTTATTTTATTAGCATATTGGCTGTTTATTAGTACTTATAAAGCACGTATTAATGCCTTGTTCTGCATGACCATATTTTAAACCCCTTAATCCTACCCCATACTAAACTAAAGTGAGACCAAGTTTAATTTGTTAAATATATTAGGAATCTGCTTACTCTGCCTGTGCTATACTACAGGAACAAGTTTCTCATCATTCAAATCTAACTGTCATGGTAATTCATTTATGAAGATTAACATTACATACTCCGAGCCCTAAATAATCTTCACAGCTGTTGAAAATAATCCCAGTCATATTTCAAATGTTGCACATGTTCTTAATCAGAACGCTACGCCTGTCAAGTTAACACAGCGTTTCCGTTTAAGTCATTGAAAAGCTTGTAGTTATCTAATATAATAAATGAAAAAGAAAAAGCAGTGTCATCTTATGTACTCTTGGAAAAAAATTGCATTTGTTTGAAAAAGCATCAAGATTTGTTTGTCAAATACTGGGGCAGCTTCCTTTCTTATTTGGGCATAACAGGATATCATCTAACTTTCTATGCTTTCTTTTTAAATATTTTTTTTACGGATTATTTGTGGCACTATGGGTTGGAGGTTTAGGGCATGTTATAGGGCAGTGTATACAGGAATGATCTATTCAGATTATTCTGTATTTTATATGTTGTGTTTAACCTGAAAAAAAACCCAATAAACGTAATGTTCAAAAAAAGAAAAAGAAAAGAAAAAGCATTTTTTTCCAGATGCATATAACCACTGAAACTATCTAAACTATTTCCCTCATATTTGGTTCATATCTCACATTACATATCCTATAGCTTTGGAGAAACAGCAAAGTCCAAAACTATCCAGAGTGATTCTGCTCTCTTGTAAAAAATGACATTTAAACTCACAATTCTGTCTAGTGTCAGCAAACTGTCTGGAAGTGCATATGTGAGTAAAATGATATGCAATCTGGCTTTCTAATTTCTAATAAGTTGCAGAAAAGAAAAGGAATAACAAGCAAGATAATGTAACAAGAACAATGCTTAAGACTGCACTGACATCATTATGTTTTCTTTTTAAAAGTTTTAAGGCTTCATTACTGAAATTATATGCCTCTGATTTTAGACATGGGGTCTTAAGAAGTTAAGTTAACTTAAAAAAAGAAAACATCTTGGAAGAATAATTATGTTCAAAATTTCAGAAAAAAAACATTACCACAACACTCTGCAGCTCAGCATACCTTTCAGTTTCCAGTGCAAATTTAGTGAAGTCTTTAGTCTCTCCGAGGTGTCCCTAAACCCCTGGCACACATTTCACGCTGACAACCGAGCCAAAGAAAGCTTGCTTATCCCCCAGCAGACTTTTCCATTTTGGAAGTGGAGACAATTCTCTGCGTGTGTAAGTATATAAGGGAGTAAACAGCCAACCAGATGTAGGATTTGCTAAAATATTTTTACGTCCACATTTGTCCACTGGGGAAAGGAGGGTGGAGATGGATATTGAGAGAGGGGGGGGGGGGGAAAGTGTTCTTTTCCTTTTAGTAAATGCCTGCGTTCATTTTAAATGCATCTGGTCAGCAACTCTGTGTGAACACCAAAGTGAGAAAGAGAGATAGAGAGAGGCAAGACGGCAAACACATCCAAGAGGAAGAACTCCAGCATTACACACACACCTAACAACCTGAAAAATTAAAGACAGATGTGCTACAGCAGTGTTTATTGTGTAGTGTTTATACGTGCTGCAGTAATGTTTCATCATCTTTCACAGTCAACCAACATGCAAATGTCTGTGCATCTATCTCTTCTTTCTAATGTAAATTTCCTGCATTCCTGCTAAATGAGTGCTGGTCACTGGTCTCACAAGAGTTCTGGGTTCTGCCTCTATGAATTGTGTCCTCTATCAAACATTTTACCCAGAGTGTGAAACCAGATAAGCTTCTTAAAACACAGGAAATTGAGAAACGTCAGAGGCTCCCCATTCACTCAGCTCTCTAGTTACCATGGAGACGACCCAGCGAGAGACCCCTCAGAGGTCACGGGCAGATGTGTTCTAACAATTTCATAACAAAGCAGATAATGATGTCTCCAATGAGTGGGGCTAAGATAACCGAAATTTGGCCAATTACGGATGACATTGCACAGAAGCGTGAGTTTGTTCACAAATCAGTGCGTGTGATTTTCATCCAAACAACTGAAGTGACAGAACATACGGTTTCTCTTGCTTTTGAGTTTCTTAGTGGCTGTCAATGCCAGTGTCTGTAAACTATTTCTTCAATAAACGTTTGATCTACGGAAAACAATGTTGCAACAAAGACTTTTTGGTGGGGTTGCATGTTTAGAGCTATTGTTGAAATCGGAGTGTCTCCTGAACCTGCTGGCTCAGATTTAGCCTTTGTTTCGAAGAAATACTAGAACTATATAGAACTAGGCACCAATTGATTCAAAAAGGACCCTGGAATGCTGCTGTTGCCAGTAAACTGTAGAATTTGGAATCAGAATCAGTCTGGACATACTGAGCCATGCTAAAGCTATAACTTAAGACCATTGGAGGCTAAAAATGACAACTTTTAACAGCTGAAGTATAACTCACGTAACTGACATTACAGATGAACAGCAGCTGTTTTTATAGAGAAAATGGAATTTAAATCACATACAACTTTTATTTAACTTTAAAGCTGTATCAACAGTCAATGACCAATTAAACTCCCCTCATAGCATTCATTACTGTGCACAAAGTAGCTTTAATTTCATTTTTTTACTTCACTAATCCATGACCTGATATTTATATTGATCACCAAGAGGATGAATATGAAAGCATGTTCAAAATATGTCGTGGTTTGTTTTCTAGTGTGTTGATGTGTTGTTTCCAATTGTGACAGTGAGTGTGACAGCCGAAGTGCACTTACTCAAATCCATATCCATCCTCTGTCCCTGAAATATTTCCCTCTTCTCAAACACTTCCTTCTGCCAGAATGGGAAAAAGAAAGCCTGGAAGCAAGAAAGAAATCCAATGTAAAACTAGTAAAACAATGACATGTTTGAAGTCAATAATAATTTAAATTTCTTTTTTGGTTTTGTCTGATTGCTATGTTCACATGCTTATTCTGGTCTCAGGTTTTAGTCTAATTAAGTTAACAGATGTTAATGGAAATTCTGGACAGAATGAGCTCAGATCTTGCATTATGGGTTTTGTGCCTCTGCACTCAAGGTCTCACTTTTGTGTTTATTTGAAAAACTAAAACTAGTAAAACTAGCTTTAAAGCAATATGATTTTGTGTTAAGGTTTATGGAATAAGCTTACTGTACTGCACATACTGGAATCTGGGCCTTTGAACACTGACCTCACACTGTGAGTCTTGTTGTGAAGATATTTTTTGTGTGTAGCTCCAAAATTTGGGATCACTCTGGATAGTTATGGAGCACCAGTTCAATTGTCTCTGGGTCATTCTACAAATGTGGTGTCCTGTCCATCTGAAAAATGATCAAAAAACACAATTCATTAATTTCACATTAAACCCACAATGCTACATTAATGATGTATTATTCCATAACCATGCTGTTATTTCTAATTTTATTAAACATCACACTAAATACTAAATAATACATCATTTATCATTAGCTGCCATGATGTTTTCTCAGTGATGTCACTCTTAAATAAAATGAATGAGGACCAGTAACCCCACTTAAAGGAAGAATTCTGCCAAAAAAAAAAAAAAATCATCATTTACTCACCCTCATGTCGTTTCTTTCTTGTGCTTGCAATAACATCACTGAATTTTAATCTTAATAACTGATGTTCTAAGTGATTAAAGTAATTGTAAAAATTAATTATAAGGTAATACTACTCAAAGTTACAGTTATTTACAGTGATTTAGAGAACATATAGTTTTCTATAACAACTGAGTACATCGCTGGTTACCTGTGACTGTAACTGCAAGACTCCTCCAGAGAATTACAGATTTTCACCATAAAAACACAATCTGAGGAATAAAAAATGACACATGTACATGTTATATTGGGTTGAGAAAGAGCAGTATTCTAAGGTCATGAGAATCCCTGCTAAACACTCATAACATAAACAATACATACACAGCATAATTTGGAAATGTCCGCTCAATTTAGTGAGCCAAAGACGCTTTATGAATGTTAAAAAAAAACAAAAAAAAAACATCCTGGCTCACTGGAATGAGCAATGGGTTTTAATCTGGCTGTAAAAGCATTAAGTGAGAAAATTTACATTTTTATTAAAGTACAAATGTTAAAATACAAAATAAAAAATTATAGTACTACATACATTTTTTGGCATACATAAAAATTGTGACTCTCCTGACATATTGAAATTCAAAGTATTAAAAGTATTATCATCAAACATCCTTTGAATGTGTTTACACTTTGACATTAAAAATCAGCCTAAAAATAATCAAATGACTGCAGTCTCAGTGCTAAAAATAATATCTAATGAAATCATTAAAATAATGTTGCTATTTAAATCTCCAAAATAAATACAGATAACAGAGACTGCAAGAAATAAACAGAGAGGGAAAGAGAGGGGCTGAGAATATACAAGATATTTACATCCGGAACAAAACACTCAAAATCCCAATTTCTCCCTGATGGACAATGAAATATCTGTGTGCGTGAGAAAATTTAGAACTAATATACGATCGCTCTGTTTTGTTCAGTCATACAGCATTATATGAGATCTGTAAAAGCACTCTAGCAAATTCTACCACTGCACAATATCATGATTCAGCACAACCAGATCATAAAAGTAGCTTGCCCAATGTGTCTACTAAAAAAAGTACAGACATAAAGTCCTGAACACATTCTGTTCCCTGTCAAATAGCATCAGTGCTTCTCCCCAGTGACTCTGACAGAGTAACTCAAGAAAGGAAGAGAGAAGGGAGGAAGAGGAAGGGTCACAGAGGGGACAGGATGCTGGTTTGGGGGAGAGTCTGAAGGGATAAATTAGGAACCAGCCTCAATGTACAGAGAGAATGAATCACAAACCACCATTGCAGGCTCAGGGCTCACCATATACATGCTAATAATAGACTTCAGTATGTGAGAATGTGTTTGGTGGCATGTGTTTGTGTTGTAGGCAAAAAAAAACTGAAGCAGATTGTTGTGGAGCAAGCACCCAAGATCTTCATTTATCATTAAACTTGTGCACGGTGATTTAACAGATATGTGATTTGATTAGTTCTGAAATAACAACATCAAATAAGCATATACAAAGCTGGAAAATCTTTTTTGATAACCTTTCTCAGTTTTCATTTATCATTTTACCTCATGTTGGCAGTTCATCAGTCAGGCTACAGACTGCAGGCATTTCTATATATCTATGGTTTGAAATACTATAAAAGAAAGAATATTTAAATATTTTGTGGCGTATCACCAATTTTAGAAATGCAAAGAAGCATTTAACATGTTATGATAAAAGCTATTTTAACTATATAAATAAGGTGTTGTCAAGGACCCCTAACATAAAAATACTTGATTTTCTTTCAAATGTAACACTTGTTTAAATGTTGTTTAAATGCTAAACAAGTGCTGACCAGGTTTTTCAATTCATTTGCTTACCTTTTAATCCTTTGCTTAGATTCGTCTGCTCTAATGTTCCATACTGAAACAAAAATGTTTCATGGTGGTTTTAAACACTATAGTACAAAAAAGGCTTTCTTTTGACTATTCATTTTAAATTCAAAAATTGAACAAAATTAGTATATATACATTTTCTAATACTTAACAAAAAATAATAATAAATAAATAATACAGAAGGCTATAAATCAAACTAAAGGAAAGAACACACTGTACCAACATTAACAAGGAAGATTAAGTAATTAAGAGTTAAGTAATTGTTATGTTTTGGTTATTTAGAACAATAACTAGAGTGGAAGTCGCTTCCAATACCTGATACCCTCAACTGAATGTCTGACATCACAGGCTGAACATATTAGAACTTCCAGAAAACAGGCATCACGTCACTATCACTAGAACAACAGAGTAATTTGTTCAAAGGTGATGACAAGCATAGAAAAAAATGAAACATAAGATCCTTACGCGCATTACACAGAGACATTAAACAAAACGGCTCATGTTCCCTAATTAGTGCTCTACGATGACGAATCTGACTCTGTACTGCCTCCTGCAATTCTGTAACAAACAATCATTCTGTCAGTCACAGAAAATGACTGCGAGAGAAAATAGAAAACAAAGCAAGGCTGACAGTGTGGAAGAATGCAACTCTCAGTTGTGTCGATGTCCAATTGTAAAATAAATGACTCAAATAACTTTGTCATTTGTCTCACTATCTAGCCTACAGTGAGATCACAATAAACCTAAACTGCGCGTACATCTATCCTCATAAAAAAAGCTGCTGAACCTGCTATTTCACTCTCAGCAAAGATGCAGTCAGATGTAGAGAGATTGACTCAAGAACGTTAGTCCTGGAGGGCCGGAGCCCTGCAGAGTTTAGATTCAACCCTAATTAAACACACCTCATCCAACTACTCAAGTCCGTCAAGCTTATTTGAAAACTACATGGTATGTGTGTTGGAGCAAGGCTGGAACGAAACTCTGTAGGGCTCTGGCCCTCCAGGAATTGAGCTACAGCCTTCATATGCCTGTCGATATATAGGCCTATACATCATGACATTACGCGTAATCGAATATATGAAGAATTCGCGTGACCAACTCAAAACCATTGCGAAATCTGCGTGGAGAAACATTTGTCGAAATTCCCAAGAGCGTGGATTCCTATTGAGTGGATAATTCGGCAAACAACTGTAAACGTGACCGCTCCTTTTTGAACTTTCAGGCTGACTGAAATCAAACTTGACAGTGGGGAAACAATTACAAAGACTAACATAATACATCTAAAAAGACACCTATTACAACTATTAATAAACAAAATCCAAAAGAAGTTTCATTCAAATGTATCGTTTACTTGACCTGTTATTATACATTTACAAAGGAATAAGAACAGAGAACTGAGACACAGGTAAACCCTACATTATTGGAGGAGCTGGTGTGGTTTCATGTCACATATGCATCATGTTCCCTTGTGTTTGGAGCATGGAGGCTGCACATCCTACAGTGCAATTACACAAGCAACTGGAATGAAATCACTGACCCTGAACACATCCATGAATTCCTCCAGGTTAGATACTCTAGACATGAGAGTAAACAATATATGACTATTTGCATGCATTCACCCTGCTAAACAGCATCAAGAAAGTGACTAATAAATTATAAAATAGTGCAGCGAACCAGCGAACAATCCCCTCAATGTAACAGTTTTGATACCATTTTGCAAGGCTAAATTACAAAAAAGACATTTTCGGTTTGGAGACAGATCTGCATTAACTCTGGAAAAGTGATGTGTAGCCAAGAATGGTGTCCCATACTCGGAATTTGTGCTTAGCATTTAACCCATCCAAGTGAACGCACATACCCAGAGCAGTGCGCAACCATTTTTGCTGCGGTGCCCGGGGAGCAGTTGGGGGTTTGGTGCCTTGCTCAAGGGCCCACCTACAATCCCTGCCAGTACTGAGACTCGAACCCACAACCTTTGGGTTACTAGGCTGACCTTTGGGTTACAAGGTAGATTTTATCTGAACTGGTCTGCCAAAATACTCAAAGCTTTAAAATTCATTAAAACAATACTTACTCCAAACAAAGGAAATAAGATCTTTTCATATGTGACAAGACAAAAGTTTAAATGAACTGAAAGGTCTAAGGCTGGTTTTCTAATACTTATCAGTCCAAAATTAACATGCGCCTGGGAAACCAGCCCATACTAAGTACATCGGTGGATGTACTGAAACAGATTTTTAAATACTTGACTCTCAACTGCATCTGACATACATTTAATCTACCTGTGTATATATCGAAAAAATAAGCCTCTCTATAGGTCCAAAGGTTCCAGCAAAAAAGCAGCTTTAGTTTAAAAACAGCATTAGTTTATTACTATAATCTTTTATCTGTTGGTTAAGCAATACCTCAGACTGTGGAGAAAGAGACACAAGTCACTTAGTGCTAAAATCCTCACATTCAGTTTCGATTCACCTCCCACAGAAATATCCAATCGCTGTTCTCCATTTGTCAATCCAAGAGAGAGTCTGAATCATTCAGGGTCACCCACCACAAGGCAAATGTCATGAGGTGCATTTCATGGAAGAAGAAGGTTCCCTGACCGAGTGCATGTCACATGATTGGTCTGCAAGCTTCCCTGATTGGCCACGGAACTGTAAGGTTTTTGGGGGAATAAGGCTTTAAGTGTGTTCTGTAGGTCTCCATATGGATGGAGGGCGAATATAGTGGTCATAGGGAACATCTGTGCTTTCCATCGATGGGAGGAAGATGGTTCTAAGGTCCCTCAGAGGTATGAGAGAGAGTGCGAGTTAGTTAATGCTGTTTGTGGCACTAGCTTCAGGGCTGTCCAGTTCTCTGTGGAATGTTTCATCGGGCTGCAGGTTTGTTCTGGAATATTCCTCATACCATTCCTGCAGACAAAAAGAAACAATCTCTTTACACAAACATTGCATTGCCTATCTGGAAATTAGGGGGGGGATTTAGTGCCAAATATATCACACTATAACTTTACAAAACATAACATGATATAATTGAAATAATTTTAAGTAGCATTTATTTTTCTTTTGCTAAACTTTCCAAGTTTCCACTTGGGCACATCCTTGTATAAACAGCTGTGTGATATATGATCATTTCAGACTTTCATGATTTAATTTTCTGATTCAACCCTTTGTGAATGCTTTACTTAAAAATTCTGTCAATAAAAGGTTCAAATTAATTAAAAATAATCTAGTCACCACATCACTGATCATCACCATTGAGATACTATTATTGTATTTATTAATATTTTGAATCAGTTTTTATTTTATATTTTCCATTTTCATTTTAAAGTTTTTGTAATTTTGTTGCGTGCTTTTGTCATTTTAGTAGTTTGTTGTCTATATAGTTTTTATAAATTTTATTTCAGTTTTAGTTGGAGTTATTTTTGCACATATTTTAAATTGAGATGAATTGAGCAAAATATTATATTTCAGTTAACTTTTTTTTTTATGTAATGAAAATGTTTTTTAATGTTTTTATTTTAGTTCCAGTTTTAGTTAATAGCCCTATAATAACCCTGTTTCTATCCTACCTGAATCTCTTCCTCGTACATCTTCATGCTGAGGTCACTCTTGGTACGTGACCTTCGACCCAGAAATACTAATGAGGAATGCTGTGAGCAAAGACAAAAATGATCCATTACAGTTCAATCAATTTAACAAAGATACACAAATGAGATGCTATGAACACAAACTGTGTGTGCATGTATGTATGTGCTCACCCCGCTCCGCTCCAGAGTCACACACATGTCCTGCAGTGAGCTTAGGTTGGTGACACCCAGTGTGTGTTTATACAAGTCTAGAGTCTGTAGAGCTTCAGTCTGGGACATCTCTGTCTCAAAGACAATCCCCATTTCATCTATAACACACACAACATTCTCAGTATTAGATATCTCAGTCATACTCATTTTAATAAACATGTCATCAGATGAACGGGACTCTAAACATTTAGAACCTTCTGGGTCATCCAGCGGCTCTCTGTTCTTCCGACTGTAGTTCATCCTGAAGACAAATGCATCTAGAATGAAGGCCACGATTATCGTCATGACAACCTGCATCAAACAGAGGCATTTACACTCAAAATAACACCGGGCTGTGAGAAAAGATTTATAACTCACATATAAATGGGTAGCTGACAACAGCAGTGTGACAATTTTTTAACAATTTTAAACAACATTATTTTTAAAGTATTATAATTAAACATGCCGTGTTTATGCCTCATGTTGTTAAAAATCAGTGAAAGAAATGTAGACCTCTTACACTGTACCTTTTACCTATATAACTTCAAAAAAGATCTTCACATCAAAAAAGAAATAATATCCACATAATTTCCTTCAGTGTTATTAATATGCTATTACAGATTCCATTAATATTTTGAATGAGCTTTTATTAATCTATTTTCAGTTTTCATTTTAATTTTTTACTAATTTAGTCAAACTCATTCAAACTCATCTAATATTTCTAATCTATCTATCCATCTATCCTAGCAACGTGCTAATCATGCTAGAAACATACCAAAAACATGCTAGTCGCATGCTAATAATGCTAGCAACATGTTAATAACATACTAATGTTAGAAACATGCTAGTAAAAACATGTTAGTCACTTGCAAATCATGCTAGCAACAGGCTACTAACATTTTAATCATGTTAGAAACATGCTAGTGAATGCATTAACTTGCTAATAATACTAGAAACATGCTAGTAACTTTCTATTCATGCCAGCAACATGCTATTTTTTTCATTAATAATGTTAATTTAATATATAGAACTGCAATCTCCATCTTTGTAAAGTGCTAGCAACATGCTAGTTACTTGCTAATAATGCTAGCAACATGCTAGTAACATGGTAATCATGCTAGAAAAATGCTAGTAACTTGCTAATCATGTTAAAAACATGTTAGTCACTTGCTAATCAGGCTAGCAACATGCTAGTAACATGCTAATCATTCTAGAAACATGCTAGTAACTTGTTAATCATGTTAAAAACATGTTAGTCACTTGCTAATCATGCTAGCAATATGCTAGAAACATGTTAGTAACTTGATAATCATGCTAGCAACATGCTATTTTTTTCATTAATAACGTTAATTTAATATATAGAACTGCAATCTCATCTTTGTAAAGTGCTAGCAACATGCCAGTTACTTGCTAATAATGCTAGAAACATGCTAGCAACATGCTAGTGACATGTTAGAAACTTGCTAATCATGCTAGAAACATGCTAGTCACTTGCTAATCATGCTAGCGACATGCTAGTAACTTGCTAATAATGTTAGAAACATGCTAGTAACTTGCTATTCATGCTAGCAACATGCTAGTTACTTGCTAATCAGGCTAGACACATGCTAGTAACTTGCTATTCATGCTAGCAACATGCTAGTTACTTGCTAATCAGGCTAGCAACATGTTAATCATGCTAGCAACATGCTAATCATGCCAGCAATATGCTAGTGACAGGCCAATCATGCTAAAAACATGCTAATCATGCTAGAAACATGTTATCAACATCTATCTAATCTACATTTTCAAACTTCAGGCTTTTACAACTGCTTTAAACTTGCAGGCTAGACTTTCTCAAGCCAACCTAAAGTTTGTCTTGACGAACTTTTTTATCTTGTTCTAGTTATTCTTCAATTTCAACTTATTTCAGTTAGTTGCCAAGACAACAATTCTGATTTTCGTTTAGTTTTGTTTTTCATCCATTTTATTTCAAACAACAAAAATGTTCTAAATGATTTAGATTTATTTAATACACATACACAACGAACATACACAATCCCTTACCATGGTGACAATGTAAAAGGTCATGAAATAAAGGCGACTCCAGTGAGTCGTTTGTGATGTTACACCTTCCTGTGAAAACAGGGATCAAAGGCTCAATAACTCATACAAATGACAGACAGATGCTCATTTATTGACTGGTTCACACAGTAGGATCCATAGGTTTCTGCTACAAACAGTGACACAACTGTCTCTGACACTGCTGACTGACAATTAATTCCAGTAAACAGCAGAGGGCACCACAGAAGCACACCAACCAAACAAATACAAACATTTTACTGAAGGAATATCAGATTTTATGACCTGTTGACAAAGCTGATGTGCATGAGTTTTTGTGTTTATACTCACCATAGTGATGTACCAGTTGTTCACCACTGTTAGCTCAAAAAGAGTGACTGAAACATGGCAGAGAAAAAAAGTTACAAAAGCTATATACCGACATGACAAGAGTGTGTATCTATGAGTGTGTGTGCACATACCAAAGCTGCTTAGGATGTTATTGAAGTTATTGAGATAATAATACCCCTCCTCTAGCATTGTTCGGTTTCCAATGGTCACATTTTTCTGGCGATACGAGTCAGCGACTCTGCTAGTGCTTTGAGAGACAGAGAACAAACCATTATACACACCAAAAGACATTATTCACTGAAAACCATTTATGGTTATTTTTTTGTCCTTTTTTGCAGTTTGATATCTACTGATCCCAAAGTACTTTCATGTACATTCTTCAAAGTTTCTCATGCACAGAAGAACACATTTGAAATATCATGAGGGTGAGAAAATGACAGTAGACAGTGTTAAATGATGTTCAGTCTGTTTTGATTTTCATAAAACAAGAAATCCATTTATGGTGATTAAAGGAACTTACTTGCAGCAGTTCGGATAAACAACATCAGCAAAAAACTCCATTCCAACGATGGCAAAAGAATAATAGAAGATAATCAGAGTCAGACCTAGACTACAGAAACAGAGAGAGAGGGTTGTGAGAGAAGGGCCTTCACTTGTGAGTAATGAGCTGAAATTGATTAATATTTCTGTACCTGGCCATACGTGGGAACAGTTCAAACATTGTGTCCAAAACATTCCGATAGCGCTGTTTAATTTTAAACAACCTTGACAAGAAATAAGGGAAACTGTTAAAAAAGGAACATATCTGTTTCTATCTACAAGTATGACTGCTGAAAAAAGATATTTAATGATTCACACCAAGTTAAGATTAAGAACAAAAGACAATGACGTGCAGCTTAAAAATATTATTACAGTGCAGACGTTATCAATAGTGGGGTAAAACTGTCTGAGATCACAGGTGAAAATGCTTCTATTTTGCAAAACTTTTTTTAATTGATTGATTTTTAATGTAATGTACAAATTACATTACCAGCACAAATAAATATATACAGCGAGATAATTATTTATTTATTTACATTACCAGCACAACAATTCAAGTATGTATGTATATATATATATATATGTTTATTTACAGGTTTGAATTAGGTTTTTGAATAAATCTTTATCTATAAATGTTCAGTATAATGTAGTATTCTCAGACTTATGGGAGAACAAAAATCATTTTGAAAAAAAGAAAAAGGTTTTAAATGAATGACTACAATGCGACTCTAAAATTAATCAAAACACACACAAAAATTAGAACACATACCGGAGGAGCTGAAAAGGTCTCAACACCAAGATGAAGTAGAACGGCTCCATGTCAAAGGCCAGAGCAATCAATCCCAGAAAGGCAAAGACTGTTACTGAGAAATCAAAGCTGGAAAAAGAAACACACACCCCGAGGTGATGCAGTGTGTGTGTGTGTGTGTGTGTGTGTGTGTGTGTGTTTGTATGAGTGTGTGCTTACAGGTTCCACCCTGAGCTGAAATATGTCAAAGGACCAAGGCCTGTGATCTTCAACAAGACCTCAGTTCCATAAACTTCATTCCACAGACACATAAGCAGGAGATGAATAAAAAAAAGTTTACAATTTAAATGAAACCAATATTAATTAAGTCATTTACATTCAGGTTTACTAATGATTTAATTTTAAACAATTTCCACCTACTTGTGAGAAAAATAATGTAACTCAATGGGACAACATGAGTCCATGAGACGCCATCTGTGAGAAGAGAAGAGCTCCCTGAGAGCCAAATTCAATTGGGTTCACACAGAGAAAACAGCTATTTCACTGTTTCCAGTATTTACAAGTGTTTCTGAATGGTGAATTCAAAGAATTATCTGGAACTTCAACACAGCTGCAACACATGCCTTACTGTTCCATTAATCAAAGAAGATCTTACCAATTAACATGTTAGTCTCCACTAGGATCCAGATGCCATTAATTGCAACTACCAGATCTGTAACAGGTCAATCATGAAAAATAGTTAGAATTATTAGAAATACTGGAATGAATATACTGTAAGTGCAGTACACTTTAGTTTGAAACCTTTGGGTCAGTAAGATTTTTGAAAGAAATTAATACTTTTATTCAGCAATAATTTGATCAAAAGTGACAGTAAAAGCTAAATACTATTTAAAGTAAATGCTGTTTATTTGAACTTATTACGCATCATGGTCTCCGCAAAAATTTTAAGCAGCACAACAGTTTTCAGACATTTAGACAAGAAATGCTTTCGTGAGCACCAAATCAGCATATTACACTGATTTTTGAAGGATCATGTGACACTGAAGACTGGGGTAATGGCTGCTGAAAATAATGAATAAATTACATTTTAAAATGTATTCAAATAGAAAACAGTTGTTTGTAATAATGTTAACAGTTAATGTTTACACAAAATTACTGTTTACTGTATTTTACGGTACATTATATAATAAGAGTACTGAAAAATACCAGAAAAATGTGAATTCTTTAGCAATGTGAAAAGTTTTTCCATTAACCTACAAATATTAATGTCTAAAGGGTTAATACAACAAGTTACTTGAGAATTTAACTTACACATTGCATATTGGAAAGCTTTGGATTTCACAAGTAAATTGATTCCTGTTAAAAAAGAATAGTGATCAAACAAAGGAAGTATTATGGAAGAAAATATTTGATCTCAACTAATCTTGAATGTATCTGTGAGCAGATCATTAAATTGTAAAATACTGTAATTAATCCAAATTGAATAAATATGACATGGAAGCCTTGAAGACCTTTGAAGATGAGGAATGCAGTACGAGGAAGATCATCAAACCAGTACTCCCCACTCCGTCGAGCCTGTAACACACATACACACCATAGGTTCCGGCTCAGGAGGGTTTAACATACACCCGGGGAGTATAACCATGTGAAAGTGTGTGAATCTGACCTTCCATTTGAGCCCGATCACTTCATAAAACTTATAAAAGTCCTGGAGACTAAAACACAAGCACAAATACACCTTATGAACTCATCATCTGTTGAAATCAATGAAAGAACGTGAGCACATTCATGCACGTGTGTACCTCAGCATGGTTGCGCCTGAATGGTTGAGGGCTTTGAAAGTGAGGAAACGATCCCGTGCATTCATTCGTGGACGATAGAATCGCATCAGTCCATCAAACTGTTTTAAACACACTCCATCTGGCCTCTAAATAAATGCAGATTTATCACATTCATCCATAAAATACACAAGGCTTCAGACCTGAAAAATCAGGAGATAGGGAAAAAGTGTGATCTGTCTGTATATATCTCACCTGCCGACTAACTAGCAGCTGGAAGCCGTGCTCTACAGCTGATCGCTTGTGTAGAAGAAGAGATTTGAATTTCATCTTCTCAACTCCATTAAAAGTATCAAAAACTACCGCCAGGAGCTGTGAAGCAAAGATTAAGAGCAAACTCAAAGTAAAGGCTAGTTCACACTGCACCAACAGATAATGCTTACAAAATTAAACTATAATGTGTTAGAAATCCTTTAAAATGCAAATAGATTTATTGTTGTTCAATACTGACTAGATTCATGATGAAGTAGAGCTCGATGGACAGATACACAATGAAGAAAATACATGACCAACGATTCTTTGAATATGCTGGCATCATCACATCCGGAAAACTAGTGAAGGAAAAAGACAAAAAACTCACATGTGTAAATCTACTAAAGACTCTGAGGTTACTTAATTATTAATCATTTAGCAGACACTTTCTTATTCAAACCGACTTTTATTGCATTTTTAACAGGGGCAGTCTGACTATAGTGACCTGGAGTTCTTTGCTCAAGGGCATAATGATAATAGAGGACCAGAGAAATTCTCCAGTTCCCCTCAAGAAGTTTGAACTGAAAACATTTGGATTACTACCGCTGTTACAGGAAGACATGAAACAACCTCACTGAGGCTCAGAGTCATGTAGGACATGTGCACCACAGTGAGGGTACATACTTACTTTGCAGTGGTCAGAAGGACAAACAAACTCACAATGCTGTTCTCCAGTGTGCTAAAATACTGTAGAGAGAAAGAGAAGAATCTATGAGTTTGTTTGTTTGTTTGTGTGTGTGTGTGTGTGTGTGTGTGTGCGCGTGTGTGTGAGAGAGAGAGAACACAAAGGTGAGTGTGTGTGATCGATGTACTAACAGGGTCGGCTGAGTTGGCTGAGAACAAACAGAATCCTAGGATGGCAAAGATGACCATGAAGAAAAGCAGCAGCAGAAGAATATCAATGAAGGGAGGAAGTGACTGAAATATCTGCCTCAAGTTTCTGGAGATAGAGGAGATAGATCGTCAGAACATCACATTTTATCCAGTCAAGGACATACTTTACAATAATTTTTCCATCGTTACAAGGACTTTTAGTACGGTACTCAGTTTTGCGTATAATCACTGCAATATGCATGTATAAGATCTCAGAAACGGCATTAATATAAAAACACCAATATTTAGACTAGTATATTTAGATTAGTTTTTAAATTACAAAATAATGTTGTTAGCAGTAGCAATAACAATTATAAAATTTTTATTAAATAACAATTCTTTTAAAATATTTTGATGTTAGCATGCCTGCGAACAGCTCCACAGTAACGACAGTCCACCAAAAAGATCGGCCGCAGGGCTCTCGTTACACGCAGGTGAGATGTCTGCCGGACTAAGACCACAATTGCCTCGACGAATTGAATAAACAGGACACATGTCTGAAACACACAAAAATCAGAGAGGATAACAGGATTCTTGAGCTGAACATTTGTGAAAATGGCACATCCTGATACAGAGATAAAAAAATAAATAAACCATTGTAAGGAAACACAGGCAGTCTATTACAAAACATGTACAAACCTTCACCATGGTCCTCTTATGTCGTATAAAGGTGTGAAAGCCAAGCCATCGGAGCTTCATGCACAACTCAAAGGCCACCATTACCAATACCAATAACTCCAGTGTTGCATGAACCTGACAGAAAAAAAAGTACAAGTACATACTCATGTTCATATAATCATAAGCTACAAGCATACAAATAAAAACACAATTACAAACCAATATACACTCAAGCTAACACACATTAACGCATTCAAAAGTTTGGGGTCAATAAGTTTTTTTTTTATGTTTTTGAAAGAAGTTTCTTATACTCTCCAAGGCTGCATTTATTTGATCAAAAATACTATGAAACTGAAATATTGTGATATTTTATTACAATTTAAAACGTATTTATATTTTAATATAATTTCAAATGTAATTTATTCCTGTAAGGGCAAAGCGGAATTTTCAGCAGCCATTACTCCAGTCTTCAATGTCACATGGCCCTTCAGAAATCATTCTAATATGCTGAATAAGTCCTCAAGTATTAATATTTTTGTGAAAACTGTGATATATATTTTTTTAAAGGATTCTTTGATGAATAGAAAAGCATTTATTTGAAATAGACTTTTTTTGTAACAATGTAAAGTTCAGCATCCTTGCTGAATAAAAGAATGAATCTTTTAAAAAAATAAAATAAAATCTTACAGACCCCAAACTTTTGAATGATAGTGTATGCACATAGTGAAGTAGAAGTCACATACATAGACATCCAAGCGGAGAAAGGGGACGGCAGGGGCCTCTGAGAGGGACAGAAGCATGAGTAACACCGCAGTCAGCAGCTCCATCACATAGAAAAGGTGATTGTGAGCAAACAGGTAGGCACTGAGCGCATGGGCATTTCGCGGATGAGTGAAAAACTTGTCGTTATTCTCTCCCTCCTGAGAACAAACACAGACAAATTGACAAGAGAGGATAATTATTAACCCCGAGTGTGTGTTTGGGATCATCTGCATCTATTTTGCTGCTTCATTGAGTGTATGGAGGTTCAAAAGATGACCTGCAGGTATATTGCTGCTTCCTGGTAGTTCATTTCCCAACTCTGCCGCAAAGAATTCTGGGCCCTGGGGTCTGGTGCTCCTGGGGTCGGAATGACAACATTATTCACATCATAATTTCCTGCCCCATCTGTGTAGAGAAGGGAAAAAAAACTATTAAATGATTTTACAATATAAATTAAGCATTTACTTTTAGATACAGCGATTTTTGAGCCGGTTGATTTTATATACCACATTTAAATAACATACCGACAGATGCAAACTGCTGGCAGAATGAGGACATTTGCACTGGCCTATCATGTGTCAGTCCAGTCATGTTGTCAAATGTACTACTGACTTCCATGGTACCCCTGTGATCGGCCCCACGTCCCAGTAGTCAGACAGAGAGCATGTCACTGCAGTTTTTCAAGCAGTTTTTAGCACCGCAAGTAAATTATCAACAATGCACTCACACATGCAAGTTTCATTGTGCCAGCTGCAGCTGCTGTGGCCAGCTGTCGGAAAGCAGAACAGAATCCTGTGGTGATGCTCACAATTCCTCAAAAGATGACACGGATTTTTTTTAAAAACAAAACCTTGAGTCAAATCAGATCAAAATGCAAAGTCCACATCTCTTTCTGCACCTTCACACACAATCATTTCTTTGTAACATTTTTTTAAAAACATTTGGTAATAATGCGTTTCTATGCTAAAAATAACAATAACGACACAAAATATCTTTTGTTGGCAAAAACATGGGAAACATTCTTAAATGCTACAAAGATCCTACAAAAATTTTTCTCAAAAAAAAAAAAAAGATTAAAGTGACAAATTACATTTGGGCTGCTTTCAGTGACAACAACATTAAAAAAAAGAGTCAAATACTGAATCACAATAATAATAAAATGTGAATCAGTTTAAATGCACTCCAGACTAACTCAAAGCTGGCTGCCAAAACACTGCACTCAGTATTCCAAACATTTCATCGCTGGATTCCAAATAGTTCCATAAGGATTCCACCATGGATTTTTCCTCTTTGTCTTTCCCTCTCTCTTTCAGAGGATGTATGAGCAGGAAACACAGCTGATGGTTCAGAGATCACAGTGTAACTGAGCAGTCGAATAGATTGCCCAGTGGATTTTCTCAAGCATCAGTCCCAAGCACAATGAAAACTTCCTGTAGATTCTCGGAGCTGCTTCCTCTGACACTGGTCCCTTTCCCAGCCATCCCCATCAGTTTGGTTTCAGTCTCTTGGCCATAGCCACCCTTCTTCCATGTCATCTTCTGTTTCCTGTGTTATATCCTCTATATTGTATCCATTTTAGTACCTTTCTTTCTTCAAGCTCAAAAACGCAGCTGGTCTTTGAGATGGACAGCACTGCTGAACAAACCTACCACCCTGAGAGCTTCATTTGGGAACTAAAAAGTTTCAATTCATTTTTTCGAACTATACTTACCGTTGCTACTTTCTAAGCAATAAATATGACTCACTTTTAAATGATCTGTCAGGCCACAGTCTGGTAACTTAATGGCACACCAATTAAATCACAAACAGCTAAGAGCTTTTAGTTTGCCCACACACAAGCTGATTGAATGAGTTACTTCATTGCCGTTCATTGACTCACAGCTTTCTGTAAATAGCTCTCAGTGAGCACGCACATGACTACAACAGCGTTGGTTTTGCTCTGTCTAATCAATAGGTTCCTGGCAGAGCAAGAGTGAACAAGAGAGACACAGACAGCACTGATAGCAGGTTTCTTTTCAAGTCCAGTTCCACTTAGCGCAGATCCAGATTTTCTTCAACACAAAGAAACTAAACCGGACTGATGATCAGAGATGGGTCCTGGTTGTTAATAAAAGTGCAGCTATTAAAATGTCCAAACAATCTTCACCACGACAACAAAAAACGTTTTGAGACCGCAGCTTGATGCAGAATGAGGAAGCAAAGGCATCTGATATTCACGTCAGCTTATTTCTTCTAATTATGAGATAGCTGTCCTGGAACCAAAAATACAGACCATATGCCTACTATGTTTCTTTTTATTTTTTCCATGAAGAATTTTCTTGGCTAACTAAATGAACATACCGAATCCCCAAAAGAGTGCCACCGTTTACACTCAGGTGCTCCAAATATTCAAATGTCCAGCTCTCATCACAACCAAACAGTTTTGTCACAAGGCCATAGACTGTGTGCATGCAGGATGGGAGTAGACGGGGGCCACAAACAGCGTTGTATCTGTCATAAGGCTGACACAGCAACTCTGTCTCTGTGTGTGTATGTGTGTGTGTGTGTGTGTGTGTGTGTGTGTGTGTGTGTGGGGTACAAAGGCTGGTATGCTACTGGACACCTGAACACATGACCAACGGAGTTGGAAAACTTCACTCTTAAAGTGACAGTACTACACATAATCCTCCCCCAAAAATTGACCCAACAGAAATAGTATCATGATGGTTGTTAATATTTTTAGCAACATACAATACCACACAATAGCACTAGGGTGCAGCATCTCCTCAGTGATTTTTAAACCACTTACAACAAAAAGTCTCTCAAATGAACTCCAATCTATAAATGACACAGCACTTAGATTTGTGTCATTAAATTTACACTGCAAAAGTGGTACGGAAGCACTTCTAAAGTGGCATTTAGGTGTCTTTACAAAGTTTTATGCTGTTCAGAGGTGGCATAAATGCATTTACACAATAACTACAGCTGCATAATTTGATACTAGGGGCTGAGGTGGGTCAGAGCAGGCATAATTTAGTCTGACTTTTATGTGCCGTTGCATCTTTATGCTGAATTTTGAGCAGCCACGGGGCATCCTTAACTCAGCTGTATAAAGAGGCCTTTTTCTAAAAACACAAGCCAAATTGCACTATAAACTGTATAAAACAGTGAATCTGTTTTTCAGAAAGAAAAATGCCTTGCATAACAATTATGTTATATTGGCAAAGACTGGCTTGAGTTGTATGACCTATAAGACAACTTGATTTACTTGAATATTTCACTGTCATTTATTTATTTATTTTTTATTTGATGATTAAATCCTAACTGATATCTGAAAATCTGATATAACTAGATCATTTGTTCATTTCCAAGTCAAAACTGGATTGTCAACCATGTATGAAAAATCATTATGATTGAAAAATTATTTCAACCACACATCCAATGTAATTTTTCTACATAAAAATACGTTTTCTTTTACAAGTTGTGGGTGCAATTATCATTCTCAATCCAAAGTAATCAAATGAACAAAGATTATTTTGTCTGATGATATCATGATTAAATCTAGCACCCTCAATAACATGATCCGCCACTGATAACAGCCGCAGTGAACACAGCTGAGCATTATAAACTTTAAACTCCAGCACTGACATCACTGTTCATTATAACACACACTAATGAAATTAATCTCACTCTTAACAATTCTTCTGTATTAGATACAATTCCACATTTTTCATTAGAAAAGCTTTTACAAAGCAGTGTGGGGAAAAACAGCCCTGCTCTACTAAAACCATAAATCCTGCCAACGCAGAAGGCCTAGGAATCATCTCCCAGCGCATTAGCAATGTCAACAACGCAGTCAACAATGACGAAAAGGCTTGACTGCAGAGCCCTCTAGAGTCAGTGCTTGGAACTCACACTATATAAATGGCCATGTTTCCTTCCTACTGTCACATGATGGATGTCTGTATTCATAATCAAGGAGAATGAGTGTTAAAGATCAGGGCTGCGTTCAGCCCCGACAAAAACTCTTTTCGGAGCCTGATGAAATCGGTATAAATATGTGTTTAATATTGCAAAATACGCTCGATGTTACACTCATTGCCCTTACCGTCCAGAATAAAAGAGAACATCCCAATCAAATGAAGGGATTTGTGGAAACTGTGGTTCCTAATTATTGTGATCCAACATTTGCCTCACATTTCAGGATGAAAAGACAAACATTTCAGGTGAAGGATAATCCACTTCTTACCTCCGAGACTGTGTTATGATCTATATGACCTTATTATTTTTATTGTGAGTATTCGGCTTATCATTATTGCTGATCGCTGTTGTTGTGCTATGATATTGTAATATTTACCATTATATAATCAGAGGAGTATAGAAAAGTTTATGAAAGTGTCACTCCACAATACAATAGCAAAATATATAAATATGTATAGTATTTTTATGTTACATTAATCAGTGTCTAGCACACCTTCCTAAGGAAAGGATGTGGACCAGAAGACATTGCAATTACTAAATGATATTTAGACAAACTTAAAGAAGTTCCAGATCTATACTTGTGCTCTTATTATTTTAGTTATTTTGCCTTTAATGTAAATAAACATGTGCAAACAATATTCTTGCTCTTGTGAATTTATTTGGATGTTAATTACATTGTGCGAGCTGTCTCTTTAATACAGCGTGGTTTATATACATGTTGCTGCTGATTGGGCTAACATGTTTGACACCAAACAAGAGAAAACGCATCTCAAACCCCGTTGCACACCGTTTCCAGGAAACATGTCGTTCAAACCGGAAACCGTAGCAAAACGGTGCACACCGGTTTGAGCTTGAACTTGCCCCAGGTTTCATGCAGACCAGGGCCTGTAGTATCTCACACTAGCGAACTGCAAGGGGTGTAGGGAGTTTGTGGACAATTCAGAGAATTGTATAAAATATATTTTAGGTCTGTTAAAGTTAATGCTGTAACTTTAACTTATGAATAATTTTTTAATGAATTTTGAAAAGAATTGTTTCATTCTTCTGCTTTCTAAAATTAATAATTATTTTATTCTATTCTATTGATTTTACCATAATAAATAAACAATTATCTTACAATTATCAAATAATCTTGTGTAAAAAAAAAAAAAAAATTCATTGATAATATGAGGTTTATGAAGTATATGCAGGGAAAATGTATCTATATACATCTACAAGAAAATCACAAGTGAGATTACTTATTTTGTTTGTTGCTAGAGTGGGAAGTCACTCGGATCAGAATGCCAACGGTTGTCACAGCAACAGGTATACAAAACAACAGCGTTTGTGTTTGACTAAGCGCATACACATTTCTACAAACAAGAATAACACGGTAATGTAGGCTACAACATGTCCAGGGAGAGCAAAATTGTGATTATTGTCCGTTACTGTTGTTGAGCTATTTAGACATTGAGCTATGTGCAAAGTGTTTCTTTGTCAACAATAAGCAGGAATGTCCGATATGATTTTTTTAAATTAGAAATTGTTATTAAAATTAGAACATTTGTGTAGTTGGGTATTTTTTGTTTGCATTGCAACACGTGACTCTCATCTCATTCAAAGCCATCTTCGTCTCGTTAAAAAACATTAAATGTTTTAAAAATAATTTGATGTCTGAATAGTTTTCTCTCACACAATCAAAGAAACCTCTAATGATGGGCTCAAAATCAGATGCTCTCCCTCCTGAAGACAGACTATCAGATGCAACCAACCTTCCAAACAAAACTAAAGAAGACGACTTAAAGGGGTAGTTCACCAAAAAATTAAAATTCTGTCATTAATTATTCACCCTCATGTCGTTTCAAACCCGTAAGATCTTCGTTCATCTTCGGAACACAAATTAAGATATTTTTGATGGAATCTGAGAGCTGTCTGACTCTGCATAGACAGCAACGCAACTGAAACTGATGTCACATGGATTATTTTACCGATCTCCTTGCTATGTTTCTGGACTTGGGAACATTTCAGTTGCGTTGCTGTCTATGCAGAGTCAGACAGCTCTCAGATTCCATCAAAAATATCTTAATTTGTGTTCCGAAGATGAACGAAGGTCTTACAGGTTTGAAACGACATGAGGGTGAGTAATTAATGACAGAATTTTCATTTTTGGGTGTACTAACTCTTTAAAGACTATTAACCCATCCAGGAAGACTCTATCATCTCTGGAAGCAAAGCTCATATTTGGGGTACTAGATGAGTGCAATCAGCAGATGGAGATAGTCTCTCTTCTACCCACTTTGCTGAACTCTCCAGAAGAACTTTCCCCAAGTCTTGGGAGAGGCAGTGGCCAATGCCCTGAAAGAGCACCAGAAGCTTGGGGAAAAGTACCAAGCTATGGTGCTTGGTGGGAGTCTTGATCAAAGTGAACTAAAGGAACAATTAGCCAAATCAACAGAAGCAGTTCAGGACTCCTTTCGTAATATTATGCGGCTACTTAGGGAAACTCTGACCACAAGGGAAGTGCTAAAAGGCATAGAGCCTAACACAGGAGGAGAGATGGAGTCTCAGAAACTGAGAGATGGCCTATGTGAGTTGAGAGAGATTGTTTTGGAGAGGCTTCTCACTACACCTGCAGAGGAGAGAGAACGCAGCGAGATGATGCTGGAAATCAGTCTACGTCACTCTGCCAACCAAGAGCTGATAGACTGGAAAAAGAGGTTGCCATGGCAATAAAAGACAAGGATACAGAGGTCAGAAGTATGACAAGGAATAAAATTAGTTATAAAATTGACAGATTAGTTGGATGACAGATGAATGAGTTCTCCAAACTACTTGGTCTCATTCTCTCTCTATTTACCCCCTTTTGCTTTCATTCTTTCTTTGTCTGGCTCTCGCTCCTATTCAGATTTTCACATTAACTAATAAAGTGAACCAGCTGAGGAGCTCACTGCATCAGATGGAAAAGGGTTTGGAGGACTTCATCGTCCGAACTCAACAGGACGCTGCAAAACAGAGCCAGTCAGATACAAAAACTTCAGAGGGGAAGAGAGCTCGTTTGCAGCAGGAAACCAGTCAGCTGAGAGCTCAGCTCAATAATGTGACTGCAGCGGACCGAGAGAGAGAACTGGCACTACGAAAGGTGTATTTATGCTCATTCAAGGGTCATTCAGTTAAAAAATGAGCATGAGTATAGTTTGTTGTAAATGTTGCTGGTTTTGATTTACAGAAAAAATACAAGGAGGAAACAGAGATTGAGAACTGGATCCAGAAATATGATACTGAAATGGGAGAGAAACAGGTAGACATTAATCTGATATTTACTGATGATGATGCAGTTTCAGATGTATTTGCAGATACCACTGAAACATTTGGGTTATTTTTCTTGGAAAAAAAAAAAAAAAAACTTTTATTCAGCACTGATCAAAAGTGACAGCAAAGACATTGTTACAAAAATAATTTTCAAATAAATGCTGTTCTTTATTCATCAAAGAATTCTGAAAAGTATCATACATTCCACAAAAAAAATCAGCATAACAACTGTTATAATAATAGTAATAATGAGATATGTTTCTTCAAATATTAGAATGATTTCTGAAAGATCGTGCGACATTGAAGATTGGAGTAATGGCTGCTGAAAATTCAACTTTGCATCACAGGAATAAATTACATTTTTTAAAAATGTAATTAAATCATGAAATCATGGCTGTGATATATATATGTGTGTGTGTGTGTGTCACTTTCACTATGTGAATGCATTTTAAAAAATGTATATGTTGTCTATGCATATGTGTATTTGATTTTGTATGTTGATATGTGTGTCTAGACAGTTGGAGGAAATGACACGTGTATATGAAGCAGAAATGACAGAGCTGAGAGCACTGGAGGAACATTCTGCAGTTCTGGACCTGGAGTACTCCCAGATTATAGAGGAGCGACAGAAGGCTCAGAAGCAGAGGAAACAACAGGAAAGAGAAAGAGAGATGCAGAGCCAAGCTGCCACTGTCGTTCAGGCCCACTGGAGAGGCTTTTGTGTACGCAAGGCCATGAAGGCCAACGCAAAGCCCAAGAAAGGAAAGGGGAAAAAAGGGAAATGAAAGAAAGCACGACATGAAAGCACAGCACAAGACTATCACCATTATCATTTGTGTTATTAGATAAATAAAATGAAAAAGCTCACTGTGACTGTGAGACTCGAGAAGCATTCAAGTGTTCGCATTCCTCTTTTGTTTAGGTTAAACATCCTTTTAATCTCCATGTCCCTGGGCAATATTCCTGCTGTCCCTCCCACCCCAGTGCACAATCCTGAAGGGTGGCCAGATGATGATTATTTAGCTTAGTCACAGCTGTCCATATTCAGTGGATATACTGTGGATACACAGAGCTTGAGTCTTAATCTCTGCTGTCATTCCCTTCAGTTCGATTCGGCCTTGTTATAATGTTGAACTTCAGTTCATCATCTATAGCTCTCATAAACTGAAAATATTTCTGAATCTGGAGGAGAAATGACAAAAAATGAGTTACAACAGTTTTGAAAAAAACATAAGCTTGCTTATTATATTTTTTACATATTTCTGTGTGATGATTTTGATGATTTTTTTTTAGAACATTACTGTATCTCATTTTAATTTAAAAAATCATATTAACAAATAATGATTCATTCAAGGTTGCCAGAAGTATTTTGGCATTATTTACCATTTCCAGCTGCTTGAAGGTGTCCTCAGTGTCCACAGAGACTCTTCTGTAATGTGTGATCATCTGATAAATGTTACGGATTGTGGCCTTTAGCTGAGCAAACTGGAGCGTCTCTTTTGCTGCAGTGGAATGGAAGTGCTTCAGTTTTAATTCCTGTAGAACACATGAATAGTTTGTAATCTTGGGAGACAGAACTGTACAGAAGACATAGGCCTGTAAATTGTGTGTGAGTGTGTTTACCCATTTGTATGCTTCTAAGCGTATGGTGTCTAGCTGCGTCTGTTGCTGGTGCAGTTGGTTGTTACAGTGCAGGAGAACAGTTCGCAGTTTATTTATGTACTGTATCAGTTTCAGCTTTGTGCTTTCTCTCTCCTTCTCTAACCTAGTTTGGCTTTCTAGAAGTTCCTTGTTGATGGACTGGAGTGTGTGAAGACGGTCAATGACTTGACCAATGCTCTCAAACTCAAATGTCATTAAAAAAGGGGAAAAGAGAGAGGAAAAATGTAATATTACAATACAAAACTTTAGATACCGAAACAGGTAGAAAGTGTATAATTTACACTTTTGAGAACCTATACGTTTAATGCCCCTCAGGCAGCTACCTCGAGTCATGCATGTACAGCAAGAATGTGGAAAGACTAATTTACGTAATTGTTTTTGACCAATTTGACCACAGTGTTTTCAAAAATTGTGCTACTTCAGCTCAAATCATAGAAAAAACGTAGGGTAAACAAACTCAAACTGTAAGCTGGGACTTCCATTCCCATAGCTGATGTATTGAGCATTGCGATTTCTCTATCAACAAGGCACTTGGTTATTTTTGTGTACAGCTTTCCAAATCCTCCCATTTATATCTGTTTGAGCATACCATCTCTGCCTTATATCCAGTCTCTAGTTCAAATAACTGCAAACTCTTAAAGTATGAAAAGTCTCAATCTTCAGGCAAATGAGGCATGTGAGTCCAGCTTGACAGTTTCTCTGAGTTGTTTCAGTACCTATATTCAGTGGATATACTGTGGATACACAGAGCTTGAGTCTTAATCTCCGCTGTCATTCCCTTCAGTTCGATTCGGCCTTGTTATAATGTTGAACTTCAGTTCATCATCTATAGCTCTCATAAACTGAAAATATTTCTGAATCTGGAGGAGAAATGACAAAAAATGAGTTATTCACCAAAGCAGTTTTGAAAAAAACATAAGCTTGCTTATTATATTTTTTACATATTTCTGTGTGATGATTTTGATGATTTTTTTTTAGAACATTACTGTATCTCATTTTAATTAAAAAAATCATATTAACAAATAATGATTCATTCAAGGTTGCCAGAAGTATTTTGGCATTATTTACCATTTCCAGCTGCTTGAAGGTGTCCTCAGTGTCCACAGAGACTCTTCTGTAATGTGTGATCATCTGATAAATGTTACGGATTGTGGCCTTTAGCTGAGCAAACTGGAGCGTCTCTTTTGCTGCAGTGGAATGGAAGTGCTTCAGTTTTAATTCCTGTAGAACACATGAATAGTTTGTAATCTTGGGAGACAGAACTGTACAGAAGACATAGGCCTGTAAATTGTGTGTGAGTGTGTTTACCCATTTGTATGCTTCTAAGCGTATGGTGTCTAGCTGCGTCTGTTGCTGGTGCAGTTGGTTGTTACAGTGCAGGAGAACAGTTCGCAGTTTATTTATGTACTGTATCAGTTTCAGCTTTGTGCTTTCTCTCTCCTTCTCTAACCTAGTTTGGCTTTCTAGAAGTTCCTTGTTGATGGACTGGAGTGTGTGAAGACGGTCAATGACTTGACCAATGCTCTCAAACTCAAATGTCATTAAAAAAGGGGAAAAGAGAGAGGAAAAGTGTAATATTACAATACAAAACTTTAGATACCGAAACAGGTAGAAAGTGTATAATGTACACTTTTGAGAACCCATACGTTTAATCCCCCTCAGGCAGCTACCTCGAGTCATGCATGTACAGCAAGAATGTGGAAAGACTAATTTACGTAATTGTTTTTGACCAATTTGACCACAGTGTTTTCAAAAATTGTGCTACTTCAGTTCAAATCATAAAAAAAACTTAGGGTAAACAAACTCAAACTGTAAGCTGGGACTTCCATTCCCATAGCTGATGTATTGAGCATTGCGATGTCTCTATCAACAAGGCACTTGGTTATTTTTGTGTACAGCTTTCCAAATCCTCCCATTTATATCTGTTTGAGCATACCATCTCTTACTTATATCCAGTCTCTAGTTCAAATAACTGCAAACTCTTAAAGTATGAAAAGTCTCAATCTTCAGGCAAATGAGGCATGTGAGTCCAGCTTGACAGTTTCTCTGAGTTGTTTCAGTACCTGTACCCTTTCCAGACACAACAACAACAGTAGACTACCAACTAATAGTGCAACTACCTTTCCGGACATTATTGTGGCTCTCTCCAGGAACTCTTGGTAGCATATGGCTTTTCTGACACGATCCTCCAGTATCTCTTTTCGTGCCAGCAGGGTGTCATTCTCTGCCTTTAGCTTCAGAATCTCCTGAGAACATGAAAAGAGACTTTTTTACGATGCTTAATGGACTTGATGAGATCAATTCAAATACGTTAAGTGTTTTAATGTGTTTTCTTTATTCCTTTTGTTTTCGTGCATGTGTCCAGGCCTTCATTTATCGTTCATAAATCCGTCTCCTGTCATATTCTCATCTCATCTAATGCATTAAGGCCATGAAGGCTTCTGTTGTCTTGGTGTGGAATTAGAGGAAATGATTTTTAACACCCATGTAAATGTCCAAAGCTGAATAGAGAATAATCTTACTATTTTTCCTCACAATGGGCAGTTATTTATTTTATTTGGTTATTGGACATATTTTTAGCTTCAGAACAAAATATTATACTAAAATTATTTCTGGATTCTGTTAATCACATAGTCACATATTCTGTACAAAAAGAGTCATCTTTTATAAATTTTTTTAGTGTAGCAATAAATCTTGCTTAAAACATGCTTGCTTAAAAAAGTAAAATTTTAACTACACATCCATGTACAGAATAATGGGGCTAACTGTCCTCCAGCAGTGAGACCTTTCACTGATCCTACAGACTGAATCCAGGAATCCCATATTTAGTCCTATGCTTGACCCTTTTCCTGACCTCAAATCTCAGAAAGAAAGAAAGAAAGAAAGAAAAAAAAAGTAGTGCAACCCCACATATCAGCATGCGGTTCAATAAATTTAGGTGGCATCAGGTCTCTGTGTGTCTCTCTATTGTGTTCACACATGAATGAACACTGAACAAGCTCAGACTAAATTTATTATTCAAGAGCATAACAGAGGTGAGTGAGTATGCAGGAGAGCCACTCAATGTTCAGGATGATGTTTACCCTTGCTTAGCGTTTGTGATAAGTGATAAGACACTGCAGCTGTCCCGCTGGGCTGGGGTCAGGGAGCATCTGTTTGTTTGTTTGATGGTTGTAATGCACCGTTTAGTGTTGCAAAAAGAGGGCTTGCTTATGGGGAGTAAACATTGAACAAGAATGCTGGGGAGAGAGAACGAGAGGGAGAGGGATGAGAGAAAGGGGAGACTAACGTTATGCTCTTACCAATAGTCTTACGTAACTTATGCTCACCAATGCTGCATTTAATTGATGTAAAAATACTAGTATAGTGAAATATCATTCAAATAAAAAACTGTTTTCTATTTTAATATATTTTCAAATGTAATTTATTCCTGTGAATGCAAAGCTGAATTTTCAGCAACATTACTCCAGTCTTCAGTGTCACATGATCCTTCAGAAATCATTCTAATATGCTGATTTGGTGCTCAAGAATCATTTCTTATTATTCTCAATGCTGAAAACACTTTTTTTGTTTTGTTTTGTGGAAAACCTGATACACTACCAGGAAATACTTTTATTCAGCAAGGACAAATAAAATGGATCAAAAGTAACATTACAGACATTTATAATTAATACTGTTTTTTTTTTTTACTTTGTTCATCATTAATATGAATTAAAATGATCTACAATTAACACACAGGAGGTTTTAACATCCTCTGATTAATGGCACATACAGTATAAGAGCGTAATATCATTACGGAGGACAAATCTAATGTTTTCAAATGTTTCTAATCTGATCATGAAACAGCCATTCAAAAACAATATTCTCTTTGAGGTCAAGTAGGAGGCCAAACATCTCATTTTGCTCAAAGTATATTCAAGCAGACATTCTAGATATAGGAAGGCATTTAAAAAAAGGTTCAGATTAGTGAAACAAGTGTTTGTGAAAGGTCAAGCTGTGGACATTAGGTCTTACACACATACACACACATATGCAGACACTGCATAGCCGGCGGTGCCACTCGTGGTTAGTGATATCATTATCAGTTCCTTCAGAAATCATTCTAATATGCTGATTTGGTGCTCAAGAATCATTTCTTATTATTCTCAATGCTGAAAACACTTTTTTTGTTTTGTTTTGTGGAAAACCTGATACACTACCAGGAAATACTTTTATTCAGCAAGGACAAATAAAATGGATCAAAAGTAACATTACAGACATTTATAATTAATACTGTTTTTTTTTTTTACTTTGTTCATCATTAATATGAATTAAAATGATCTACAATTAACACACAGGAGGTTTTAACATCCTCTGATTAATGGCACATACAGTATAAGAGCGTAATATCATTACGGAGGACAAATCTAATGTTTTCAAATGTTTCTAATCTGATCATGAAACAGCCATTCAAAAACAATATTCTCTTTGAGGTCAAGTAGGAGGCCAAACATCTCATTTTGCTCAAAGTATATTCAAGCAGACATTCTAGATATAGGAAGGCATTTAAAAAAAGGTTCAGATTAGTGAAACAAGTGTTTGTGAAAGGTCAAGCTGTGGACATTAGGTCTTACACACATACACACACATATGCAGACACTGCATAGCCGGCGGTGCCACTCGTGGTTAGTGATATCATTATCAGTTTTGCGTAGAGGGATTAGGACTCTCTTGCTAATGGAGAGTGACAGTGGCCCCTTGCTGCCGAAGCACACTGCCCCGGAACATTTGGAGGTGGGGTGCACTGGGGTGGGGAGCATCGGGGGTGGCCCATTCACATCGCCAGTGTGCCGTGCGACATTAGTGTAGTCCAACTCTTTTCCTTACTCTTGTTTGCCTGGGGGTCATTTGTTTGTGATCAGTACATTATATCAAACACAGTAATGTGAGTAACAAATCAATAAATGAGAAAAAAAACGCGTGATTGGTTGGACAGATTTTTGTAGGATTAAATACATTGTTTAATATTTAACTTTAAATGTAAATTACTCAATAGTGCCCTATAGGAATAATAGTATTTGATAATAGTAATGCTTTTTGATTTACTAATTTTTTTTTAAATACACTAACGATGTAACATTTTTGAGGAGTCTGCTGAGGTCTTTTCTGTCTGTGTTTGGCTGCAGGCTTTGACTTTGAGGATTATGAGGTCTCCATAGGGAACAGTCTTCTTTGGATGAACTGTTGGGGGAGGGGCTTCCATATGAGTGTTTTCTGGTCCACTAAGCAGCAGATACAAACACGCACACACATGCATGCACTGACCCACTCTCAATGGCTGCTGGTATTTGGTACTGATTATTGACATCCGCTGACTATATGATATTCCGTCTCTCTTTCTGTCAAGTTCAATTCAGGTTTATTGGCATAAATACTGAAGTAAAGTATTGCAAAATGTAGAGGGATATTTCAGTTTAAATAAAGAATGAATGAAAAAATATTTTTGATGCAATAAAATATTTTTATATGCATATTTTTAGACTTCATATAATAAAATACTTTTATATACACCTTAATAAATTATTATATAGCTAAAATTTGGGGTAAAATGTCTAATTTATTGCACAATTCTGAGGATAAAGAAATAAATCTTGCTTCGATTAAATCACAGTGTCTACTTATCTTCTGCTATTTACTTAATTATGAGTAACTCCATTATGAGTCTATACTAATATTCAAAAGTTTGGGGTCTGTAAGATTTTAATTTTTTGAAAAGTCTCATATGCTCACTAAGGCTGCATTTATTTGATCAAAATTGCAATAAAACGGTAATATTGTGAAATATTATAACAATTTAAAATAACTATTTTCTGTTTTAATATATTTTAAAATGTAATTTATTCCTGTGATGGCAAAGCTGAATTTTCAGCAGCCTTTACTCCAGTCTTCAGTGTCACATGTTAAAGATTAAGAAGTTTAAAAGAACAGCATTTATTTGAAAGACAAATCTTTACTAACACTTAAAAAGATCAATTTAATGCAATTAATGCTCGCGGAATAAAAGTATTATTTTTATTTTTTTAAATACTGAATTAATTAGAAATACCCTCCATATTTAAACATTTGTTTTCAACAACGTTGGGAATGCATTACCTCTTGAAAAGCTGATACAAACACCACACTCCAGCCAGACTGAAATCGAAATACAGGCACAGCTGGGTATCAAAAAACTGATAAAGTTTCTTTGGGTCAAAGGTTGAAATGAGGAACAAAGAGAAATTATTATGAATACAAAGATTAGTTGTGAGCTGCACTCCTACTCTATATTAGCATTAAGATTTTCGATCTCTTCCCACTCCGCAATAAATTCGGTTAAGTGGGTGTCTTTCGCTTTCGCATTTTGCTTAAGTGGGCATCTTAACGATGAATGGGTTAATAGCATTACGGGCTAATGTCATGGAGGTAAAAGAGCCCTTATTGGACCATGTGCGTGTACCAGAGTGGACTTGGGGCTGCGGCGTGTTTCCTGGAGGAGCTGGATGATGCCATTAGGTTTGAGAAAATGAGCTCAGATCACTTAATTAGCAGTAAATAAGTGGGCCGGGAAATCCAGTCAGGGTCAGAGGCTTTTCAAAGACTTGATTTGGGTTCAGATTTCCATCTGAATGAGAACATCAATTGAAGCCACCCAAAACAGTTCAGCTGAGACTAGGAAGGGGAATTTATTAATGGTAATGTAATAAATCTAATAATTATAACTGTAATTTCAAAATGTCAATCATTTATGGAAATGATATAAACTGCAATTACGCATTATTTTCCTCCAAGCAGTAGGGTTTGTAAAATGCACAAAAAATTCCTGGCCTTTATAGGGTCATGAAACCCCAGACTACTTTTTCTGAGATTTTAGCAGAGGTGTTTTTGTTGCACATCATAGAAGACAATGACTACGTTTACATGGACATCAGTAATCGAATTATTTACCTTATTCTAAATAAGCCAATATTATGATTATGGCGTTCACATGAGTTGCTTTTAGAATATTCCTTTCATGTTTCAGTTTTACATGTTATAGTACATAGTTCGATTAATGGCGCAAGTCATTCGGAATTTCACGTATAAACATATAGTTCGTCTTCGTGATGATGCCATGTACAGTTTTGGGTGTTTCATTTTTAATTTTATTAAAAGCTTCAAGTGCAGTTAATTTTTTTTTTTATGTGCATACAGACGATGGCGGTGTTGAAGCTCTTTTATTTGCCGTCAAACGGTTGAGCACTGCCGTGTGTGTATCTTGTAGCAAAATGCGGCAAAAAGTCCTACACGACGGTAATAATGTGATTTCAGGTGTTTACATGTCTATTCTGCACTTCAGTAATGCGACTAAAATAGGAATACTCCACATGTCTTAATTCGATTTCTGTTTACTTCGACTATGACTTTAGCCGGATTAAGGTAATCAAAAATCTCTGTTTACATGGTAGATTCTTAATCAGAGTATTGTCTTAATCGTATTAAAATCGGAGTATTGTTGTCCATGTAAACGCACTAACAAGAACTACTCGCTGGACTCCTTTACATTAGCATCTAATAATTTTAACTATAGAAGAAAACTGGTTAATTTTAAGCGTTTTTGCGCTATTTTCATCTTCCGGGGTTAAAATCTATTCACAATTCACAATTTGTGACGCGGCAATGGACTGTAGTACATCGATGACGCGTTGGTGTCTATTAAATTATTCATGAGACTGCATGTTCTTATCCTATGAGAAGACGCTTCGCTTAATTATTCACAACAGCATGTGTTGATTTGCTATGACCGACGCTTCAGACTGTGAGATCGC